CCTTCCTTCCTTCCTTCCTTCCTTCCTTCCTTCCTTCCTTCCTTTTTCCCTCCCTCCCTTCCTCCCTTCTTTTTTCCCTTCTTCCCTTCCTTCCTCCCTCCCTTTCTTCTCTCCTCATTCCCCATCCTGCCAGAGACCTGGTCTCCCTCTCCTCTCCTTCTGTCCCTCCTTTGAGAAGCTCTGCTTGGGGGTGGAGGTGGATTTTGGCAAGGGAGACAAGAGCGCAGGGAGAAGCCACCAAAGGAGCCGTTGGCCGCCTTGAGTTGAACTTTCAGCGGGGTCCAAACCCTTCCAACAACTAGGGTGTCACTCAGGAGACCGGGGGACCAATGAATGCCTGGTAGGAGGTCTACTCGGCTCCCCTTGCACCCAGCCTGGCGAGGTTTCTCCAGCTCGTGTGCGTTCTGTGCAGGGTGGAAAAGAGAGGGAGAGGGGGAAGAGAGTCGGGAGGGGGGGGGAGGAGGAAAAAAGCGGAGGCATTGCCTGCGCCCCATCCCCTCTCTTTCGCTCCTTCTAGCTCACTAACTCGCTCCCTCTCCCTCCCTCCCTCCCTCCCTCCCTCTGCAAACCTTGGATTTAAACCTACTCAGAATTCAGCACGGAGGAAAGCAGCCAGCCCGGCAGCTCCAGACAACGGCAGCTCGGCACCCTCCCCCCCTGCCCCCCCACTCCCCAAAGATGTATCAGCCTATCTGCTGGATCGTCTTCACGGCCACCACTGCCCTGCTCTTCCTTCCAGGTATGTCACGCAGAGCGGGGGGGGGGGGGGGGGGGGGGGGGGGCCCCCCCCCCCCCCCGGGGGGGGGGGAAAAAAAAAAAAAAAAACCAAAACCCACCCCCACCAAAAACCCACCCCCGATTCCAGCCAGGAGGGGTGCGTAAGGAAACGCGTTCGGGCTCGCGGAAGGGTCTGAGGAAGACTGTGGAGGCTCTCGCCCAGATGTGTGCGCGGTGACAACTAAATTGGGGAGACGGGGTGGTGGTGCTGTGTGTGTGGGTGGTGGGGGGCGGGTGGGAAGGCATCCCCCCCCCGCAAAGAGATGAGACCAGTTCTGGCGGCCCGGCCACGGGTTTCAAGACAGCTGCTTTCTTCTGCAGAGGTTCTGCTTTTGAGGAGCGGGTGTGTGTGTGCGTGTGTGTGTGTGTGTGTGAGAGAGAGATGAAGGACCATCCCGCCGCCCCCCAGCCCCCCACCGCCCCGGTGGCTTTGGACAGCCCCAGCTGCTCCTAGGTAAAAGCCCCAGAAGAGAAGGTGCTTCTTCTTGGATTTATGCTTTCCAGTCACACACTTGGAGGTGTGGGTGTGCAAAGAGAGGATTTGTGGGGCGGCGGGGGGGGGGAGAAGTCCCTCCCCATCCCGCCCTTGCTCTCTCTTTCCCTTCTCCCCCCTGTTTCCCCCCCCCAGCCTCTTCTCTAAGTTCAGACCTCCTCCCCCCACTTTCCTATTTCCTTCTCTTGCCCCCCAATATTTATCCACTTGGCTTTGATGCAGCGATGAGAGCAGTAGAAGAACCTCCTAAACTGGCCCAGCATGGATGGACGGAGGGTTGAAGCCTGTCTGGGATTCGGAGGCTGCGGTCTCCAGATCCAGACTAGGGTGTCTTGAGTTTCCCTTACCCTTAAAACGGTTCCCCTTTCCTCGGTTCCTTCCCCCACCCCGCTTTCTTTTTCTGGGGAGCTGCAAAATCGGCTCTGAATCGGTATATTGTTAACTCGTCTCTCACTGGCCGTCTTTAAGAGTTTCCACAGACAGGCAGGCAGTGTGCAGAGCTGAATGAACGTGGATACATCTGTCCCAATATAAAATGAGTGGGTGGGGGGGTGATGGCCGGAGTGTGTGTGTGTGGGGGGGGGGGACACGGTGGTCGTGAGCCAAAAGGTTGAACTGAAGGAAAGATTTGCATTTGGTTTTTTTTTTGTTGTTGTTGTTGTACTAGGGGCTTTTTTGAAGGGAGGTCTGTCCAGGACTTTGGAACTTGAGACATCGAGCTAGTCCTTTCCCCTGTTTTCTTTTACCTCAAACTCAACATCCCTTGCATTTTTGGAGACAGAAGCGTAAACCCGTTCTCAGCTGTCTCACCGCCATATGGACATCTCTCGGGGCCAAAGTGGACCTCAATGTTTGTGGCTCTTGAAGCAACGCATGACACGGAGTTTGGACCATACGAAAGGAGTCGTCTGCATGTGTTATGGTTTCTACTAGTGTGTAAGGAGGAGAGGACGATCGTGTAAAAGCAGATTAGAGCAAAAACGGGGGGAAAAAAAGAGGAACTTTCTCTGTAGGTTGAGATCCCACAGGCAGGAAGATTGCAGGAAGGGAAAACAAAACAAACAAACAAACAAAAACAACAACAACAACAATAACAACAACAACCAAGAGTGAGACAGGCATATGTTTTATATTCTAAGTCATCATGTCTACCATTGGAGAAAAAATCTTGCTCAGCACTTAAGATCCAATGGAGAGATGGTGGGAAAATAAGGAACTTTGCTTGGTGTAAAGGGGTTCTTCTCATTTTTCAACCAGCTAAGATGAAAAAAACTCAATTCTTGCAGGATAGAATATGGTTTATAACTTATTCCCCTCTTGAAGTCTTGATCACAAGCTATTTTCCCAAACCAGAGTGATCCTTGTTCAAAACACACACACACAATACTGCAAGGTTTAGGTCTTGGAAGTAAATGAAATTCTGTAGCCATCCAAGAGCATTTGAGAAATTGTATTTTAGGAGAATTTGGAAACTCTGTTTTCCTCCTCCCTGCCCACCCCAATTTTAAACTATAATTATTTAGAAGGAGGGGTTTGGTATCCCTGGGTGAAGAAAATGCAACTGCTGTCTTTAGGATTCTGGAAAAGAATATGGAATAAATGAAATAGTTGGGAATCACTTTTTCAGTTCTGTGTTTTCTGCCCAGGATCACATATCATTTCATGGATCACCTATGTGTAGTTATGCAGCTTGGAGCTTAAAGTTGAACTGTTTTTAATTTGCGTGTTGACCATAGTGAAGAGAATATTCCCCTGGTATTTGTTGTATCAATGTGTTTACAAGCTCTGACTTGGAAATCTGCTGGTTTAAATCTTGTTTCCGCCATGGGTTCTGTAAAGGGGAGGTGATCTTAAATTAGTAGTCTACTCTACAGGGCTGTTTGTCAGAATCACTGTATTACTGATACCTTTGGAATAGATGCAAGCTTACCAATGGAACGTTCTTGTCAATGCAAACTTCTAATCTGAAACTGAGTTATTAGGAAAGTGACATTATTAAGAGAGCTAACTCTTACCTAGGGCCAATTTAGGAGAAGGTATCCTTCCAGAGAACCTGTCACTTCTTCTTCTCCCTGGTGCCATCTAGGTGTGATAGATCTATGTTCTCTAAATTCACATATTGTACTGAAACTGCAGGTCCCGATATATTCAAGATCTTGGAAAGTGCCAGATTGGAGAAAAAGACTTCTTTGGGTTGTGAAATTCCTGTAGGATATCCAGTCATCGATCTTTCCTTCTTTTTTTTTCTCTCTTGAGTCACATCTGGAGGGTTGGTGGAGGTGAAGGAAATAAAAAGCAAATAGATTTTTTTTTTATTAAAAAAAAAAAAAGAATGAAGGGAATCTGACATTTCAGGTAGAAAATTCCATCACAAAGTATTGTTAACCTTAACGGCATTCTTTCTGGCCTTTACCTCCCCTTGTCATCCGTTGGTTATTAATTATCTTTCTTCACTGTTTGGGTGATGTTTATAATGCCCCTCGTCCTTTCAAAAGAACCTCGTTTTTTTCTCTCTGATAATTTCCTTAAGCAGATTCTAAAAACCTGAAAGGTTGATGTAATAATGGAACCTCCGATCACCGAAAGCATCTTGCACTGCAGGTTTGTGAAGGCAGGCGGGATTCTTTCCCCAGGAGAAATTGGAACTTAAATCTTGACCAATCATTCAGGGAAAGGGATGGCTACAGCCAGGAAATTTTCCAGACAAAATCTGTGTCTGATGGCAGGAGAGGGAAGGAAGCATGTGTGAAACGGCAAAGCCATGAGAACAAGGCAAAAATCTGAACAGCTGAGAATAAATCCTTATAATTCCCTGGAAATTACTTGCGTGCAACTACTTTTCTTGTTGTATCCCTCCAGTACCGTATGTTAGCGAGATAAACCCTGTCAAGATAGGCATGTTGTTGTCAAGTTCTTCTATTTGGAAAAAAAAATATGATATGGTTGGTTCAGGATATGAGATGACAACATCTGTAGCAATCTAGCTGTCAATAGGGAAGTGGCTTCAAGGAACATAGAGTTACCTAGTGCTCTAACTGATACATTTTGGTGAATTCTGACTTCCTTATTTATAAACAGAGGGTGTTGCAGTGATCTCCCCCAAATGTGACACCCTGTACCAAGGAAGTCCTACCAAGTGGGACACTCAGGGAAATATAAAACAAGGACCAAACCTTGGGTTGCTTCATGGTTTTCTTTGCCACCATTGGTTACTTGGTCCTTCTTGGCTGAAGACTCCAAGGTTTATACTGGTGAACTTGAGCAACCAAGCCATGTGTCATGCAATGTGTTTAAAGTCTTCTAATGTATATTTTTGGCCAAATATGAAGCGGAATATGCAGGTGGAATTAGGTTTATTGTTTTACTCCTATTTTTCAGCCATCCATTTCCTGGTTCCAGAACAATGAAGAGTTCAAGCAGCATTAATGGATGGTGGATATTATTTATGGATATG